TAGCGGTCAATTAACGCAATTCATCAACTTCACTTAAGGATTAGTCTTTAGACCTTTATTTTTAAGCATTTCCAGTTACATTCAAGCATAGCGTGTTATTCATACGCCTGCGCAGTCCAATAAGTAGATCACAGAGACCGGCAGATGTGAAACAGAGCCGAGATTGATTGTGATGAAAGAGAAACAACAGAATTGCCATGTATCGAGGGTTTATGTGGGAAGACGTGGCGTGCATCTGGGAAGTAACCTTAGCAACCGAAGAATCCTGAACAGCCTGCAGAGTTGCTGTACGTAGAAGCATTATTTCATCGCCGACGTCCCATTTTCAGCACCTTGGACAACGACGAGCACGCTTCACAGTGCGACACGCTGAGGAAAAAAAGGAGTAATCGACGAATATTTCTATATTTACCAGACCTTCTTCTTCTATATCTACATTTATCACCGTGAGTGAGACGTATTGATTTGTAAGTAACCAACATTTATGTGTATAACCTATATATGCCGGTTTTGAATCAAATGATCTTCATTTCAAAAACGCTTTTAAAGGGTTCGCTTTTAATTAGTTCGCAAAATGTGAAAAACTCAATTGTACCGTCCAAACGAGCCCGTCGTTATAAAGATGCTATCTTGATTTACAACAGCTCGTTTTGTCTGAAGCGTGATGTTCTCATTTCCTCGCGTTGATCCACTAAACATTTTGAAGAGCTCGATCAATTCTGTTCATAAACGTGCTTAAGCTTAAATTTAATCATTTTTCAGTCAGCTAACAATTTCCAATTCGCACTTAGAGGAATTTTTCTTACAAATAGATATGAATTGGGAATGAATGTGTTTACATTCTCGCCTTCCATTTTGAAGCTAAAATGGATGCTTTCGCATATTCTGCTTAATCTCATGGTGAATAGCAAACCAGCGGTTCAGTTCAGTAAAAAAAGAAAAGAAATCTATCTGTATGTCTCAAAATATAATTGTAAGATTTTTACATTTGGTTTTCTATACATACTTTTCAATATATATAAAATGCTTATATGTTTTGCACTTGTGTGTATGTTCTGTTTAAGTGGTGATGGCGGTTTCATCAAAATCATTGCTTATTTAGATCTGGAAACAGTATTGTGTCTTTAAACATTCATATTTCTTTCTTTCATGGGCAGATTCCGTATCTAAAGACCCCGTAATAATCAAGGCAACATGGGAACTGTACTCTCAGTGTCCCCGAGCTACCGAAAGGCAAGCCTGTTTGATGAAAAACCACCCCCTCTGGCACATTATACAGCTGTGCAGAACAGTAAAAACGCCAAGGACAAGAGCCTGAAACGGCAGTCACTCATCAATGTCCTGCCATGGAAGCGGATTGTGGCAGCTTCGGCCAAGAGAAAAGGTTCTAAGAAGCTGGCCTCTGGGGACAGTCAAGATGAAGAGAGCGTGGGCACCCTCAACAGCCAAAACCTGAAGAAGTCCCAGTCCTGTGCCAACCTCTCCGGCTTCACCCAGGAGTCGGCCGTGAGCTCCATTCCCACATCGAAAACCACCGCCAATGTGGCCTCCACTGCGAAGAGGACCTCCATCAACGGATCGGTGGGCCAAGCGACCAACGCGGGCACACCCAAAAGAGTAATCGTGCAGGCTTCCACCAGCGAGCTCCTGAGGAGCCTAGGCGAGTTCCTGTGCCGACGCTGCTACCGATTGAAGCGCCTCTCCCCAGCCGACCCTGTTCTGTGGCTGCGCAGCGTGGACCGCTCCCTTCTGCTGCAGGGCTGGCAGGACCAGGGCTTCATCACCCCGGCTAACGTGGTCTTCCTCTACATGCTCTGCCGTGAGGTCATTTCGGCCGAGGTGTCCAGTGAGCGCGAGCTACAGGCCGAGGTGCTCACTTGCCTCTACCTCTCCTACTCCTACATGGGAAACGAGATTTCATACCCGCTCAAGCCCTTCCTGGTGGAGACGGATAAGGATGCCTTCTGGAATCGCAGTTTGGCGATCATCAACCGCATGAGTAGCAAAATGCTCCAGCTTAACTCTGACCCACACTACTTCACACAGGTTTTTGCTGACCTGAAAAACGAAAGTCAAAAGGAGGAGGAGAGCCGGCTGCTTATAGGCCTGGATCGATAAGTAAGGCGCCTGCACATAAACAGAAAAAAAAAATGTGCATAAAAAGTTTGTGCACAGAAAAAAAAACTTTTTTTTTTTTTACAAAAAACAAAACAAAAACAAAAACTTTAGTGTCATTATTAGTATTAAAAAGTTTCAGATAGTTTTGAAGCTTATTTGTAGCAATGAATGCAACTAGATTGGCCATTCTAAGGAATAGTTCACCTACAAATAAAAATGTGTACATTTTTACTAATCTTTAGGCCATCCAAGATGAGATTGAGTTTGCTTCTTCATCACAACAGATTCTGAGAAATTGAGCATTACATCACTTACTCACCAATGGATCCTCTGCAGTGAATGGGTGCCGTCAGAATGAGACTCCAAACAGCTGATAAAAACATCATAGTTATCCACAAGTAATCCACACAACTCCAGTCCATCAGTTAATGTCTTGTGAAGTGAAAAGCTGTGTGTTTGTAATAAGCAAATTCATCAAGACTTTAATCTAAAATATGAATCTTCTATCCATACATTATTGCTTTCTCCTGTGATCAGAAGAGAAATCAGGACAGAAGCATGCACAGATAAAGCACTATTTACAAGCATTTAAACCATTCTAAACAAAGATGTTGGCGGATTTTGATATGAGTGGACAATGGGGGATAGACTTTTTCACTGGAGGAAACGTTATTATGAATTATGGACTGCCAGTTTGGCCAGAAGCAACAGTTTAAAGTTAAAATGCCTTAATAATATATTTGTATCTTACAAACATGCAGCTTTTCTCTTCACAATTCATTGAAGGAATGGAGTCATGTGGATAATTGTGATGTTTTGTCAGCTGTTTGGACTGTAATAATGACGGCACCCATTCACTGCAGAGGATATATCGGTGAGCAAGTGATGTAATGCTGAATTTCTCCAAATCTGTTCCAATGAACAAACAAACTCATCTACATCATGGATGTAAATGTTCAGCAAATTTTCATTTTTGAGTGAACTATTCCTTTAAGATTTCTACATTCACAAAAATCCTCCAACATTGATGAAGTGACATATGAGGACCATGAACTGCTGCTCTTGCATGGCATCACGTTTTCAACATGTTAACGTTTGTTTAGCATATCTTAGTGGCCTTTATAGAAGGTCTGGGTCTTAAACTGCTGCAGGTTCAAGGCCATTTGATGAGGTGGTCTGTCCAAACATACATCAGTTATTGTTCTTAAGGACATTCTATTTTAAGGAAATTTATGATGCTTTATAAGCTAAAATGATTGACAATTTATGATGACGAAACCACCGCACCGCTTCCAACAGAACAGAATCTTTCACCTTGAGAAAGAGACGTGTTTTCCAAGTTGCGCTATCTATTGTCATTGTGAAAAGTACTGAAATGTCTAATAGGGAACAAACAAAAGGAGAGGTAGATATTTGACGTATTTTCAACAGCAAGTACTGTATGTTCTTATACGGGTGTTAATGCATGCTTCTTTGACCAACCACACACTTTTTAAAAATATTTGTTTATGATTTGATGGTCACAATTTTTGTATGACATTCTTTTGGACGGTGTTCCAAAAATAATGTGCCATAAAGACATAAAAGTTATAAAAGCCAGCTTGAAGTAAACTACGTTTTTGTAGCCTTCTCATTAGGAAAGGGATATTTTTGAAGGAGCAAAAGAGAAGGGACATTATGGAAAGACTTGAGCCAGAGACATACAATGTCACAAATATTTTGTTAAAAACGAAAGGGAAAATTGCTTGCATAATTTGAAAATCGCCATGTTTTTAGTCCATTATAGGTCCAGAATACTATTTTCATAATTATGCATAGATAAAAACAAAACCCTACAGTTATTTTAAATACACGAAAGCCCTATATCAGATACAAGAAACTCTAAAACCAGTGCAAAACATAATAGTGCAAGGGTCACGTGCAAAATAGACCGTAAATAACCATTGTTAATTCAGTTAGAAAAGGGTTATTTTACAGTTTTAAGTCAGCCTGTTAAAAGAAAGCACTTACAAAAATTATAAATGTTAATTTAGCCCAAAACACTTCATTTTAGTCTTCTTTTTTCGGCATTTTAATGCTCTCTCACATATCTGAGATTGAGTATTAACAAATTTGAGAGCACAGTTGATTTTACTTCCATAATTTGACACAAATTGCAAACCAGCGTTAATGGTAGATTGGTTGCTGATGAGATATTTTGAAGTGATGTGGTCAGTAATCATCCTGAGAACGAGGTGCCGTCATTCTGTGAATGAGAGATTTTTCACGAGCATTTTCTCCATACATTGTTCACTCACTATTCAAGCTTCTGCATGTGACATGACAAGTGCAGTTTTTGTTAAAGGTGATGAACAGTGATGAAGGAGTGACTTTAAAACAGTTCGCAGGTGTAATATTAACATTTGCAAAGCGTGCGTTTGAATAGATTTTTGAGTCTTAAACGTCTTCTATAGAAGTACAGCAGCTTTTCAATATGCAAATGATGAGATACTGATGACATGTAAGATACTAAAATGAATTACCTGTAGCACACAAAAACTGATCAAATCAACTCAGATGGCAGGTCATCTGTGACCTGATTGCAGTACATTTAGCAATATGCACATTTTAAGTTTTAAAGATAAATGACAGTCAAAAGCTAACAGACCACAGTCTTTAAACCCATTTATTTGTCTTTTGTCAGTTAAATAGCTTTTTTTCCTGTTTCTGTATGGGATCATTTAAACAAAAGGCTATTTACATATTTCTGATCACTTGCTGATAACACATTTACATTTATCCCCGTATTTTGTGTTTGGCCTCATTCTGATAAAACACTGATGGTGCTATAAATTCAGATATCCCATATTACCCATAACAAGACTTTTCTCATTGGTTAGCTGAATGTAGTGAAGTTTTGTACATAAGGCAAAAAGACTGGACATGCATTGATGCTACTACAAAAATGGCTCCATTGGTGTACGGGATACTGGATGTGATGAGAAACTGACCGTAATAGATTGGTGTGGAGAAAGGCCATTAATTACAACAACTCTGTTCTTGTCATAGATAATGAAAGAGGCGAAATGTGTTACTATGTTTTATACAATTTTTGTGGTTGATGTAACATTCTTCAAAAAAAAAAAAAACTGTACAGCAACAAAAGACGTACAAAGAAGTATGGTTTTCTCTTTTCTTTGTTTCACGTTGTGTGAACTTTGTTGATCAAAATGAAACAAAAATGAGATGTAACTAATATATTTAAAGAAGCAATCTGTTACAGTATATGGGTGTGTATGAATGTGAGTTTGTGCAATGACTTTGGTCAACTCTTCTATCAACTTTATATAAAAATTTGCATTTGCAAGCAAAAGCATTGATTACGTGTCTTGTTTTTTATTCTAATTTGTGTACAAATGGCTTCCTATATACCTTTGCAGGTTTTCATTTTTTAATTTAGTTATTTCTATATAGCTTTAATTGTATTTCAGTTTATTATTTTTAGTTTCAGTTATTTTAGTACTTAAAAGTACTTAAATAAAATTTATTTATTTCAGTTTTAGTTTCAATAATTTTAGTCCTTGAATTTCAATTTTATTTTATTTCCGTTTTATTTTAATTCAGTGTTTTTTTTTTTTACACAAATGACTTACTGCTTGATATATATTTGCACAACATAATTTCATTTCTTACATATTTCTAATATTTTTCTCCTATATATTTTTTTCTTTTTTCTATTAATTCAGCGTCACCATACATTACATATAAGACATAAGCACCTGCAACTCATTGACTAGTAATGAGGGGTAACTGCAGTATTATGTAACTCAACATGGGTACACATCACAATGCAGCAAGCCATCTGCTTGAGAACAGTTCACAGATTGAATAAAGAAGCTTGGGTTTTCATATCAGTGTGTATTTTTGTGTAGCCTATATAGGTGGAGTGGCGCTTTCAGTGCCGCCTCCGTTCTGCTACCTGCATTCCTTTTCCCGTTAGAAATTAAGTAGGAATTCGCGGTTATTGCATATGTAAAACGGCCTTATTCCAGTCAATTAAACGTTAAATGGCTCAATATGTACAGTAAGGTTCATAGAGTGCTCTGTGGCTTACCTGTAAGCATCAAATGCTGTTGACACATGTGGACAAGTTAATGGTGCCACTACAAAATGATTAGGCTTAATGTTTACAAACAGGTTTCCCAAAGAAGAAAGTTTCCCTGCCCGTCATTAATCTGCAAACAGATAGTTCCGCCCCACAGTTTTGTAGTGTCGATATTGTTAACTAAAACTCTACTATTAAATTCGTTAGGGTTAGGTTAAGGTTTTTTTTTTTTTGTAATTGAAATACAGCTAAAATAAAATATAAATTATACATATGAAAACTTGAAACCTAAATGAAAATTAGAAATATTACCTTGTCAATGAACTGAAATAAGTTGAAGCTGTAATACTGAAATTACTAAACCTAAACGTGAAATAAACATAAAGATATTTAAAAAAAAAAACTGAAAAAAAATGTCAAAGCAAACAACCAAATCACTAAAACTAAAATAAAAACTTAAAAATATTTTAAAATACTATAATAGTATTTAAATAATACTAAAAAACTTTCATCCAAAGCGATTATCCAAATAACACAAATAACGCTTTTATCCAAATAGCACTGGGTAGATGTCAGTTTTGTCTTAAAATTCAGCGATATTCTGAATTTGTCTCCCAAAACTTAGGTTATGTACTCTGTTCTGTGTCTGATTGGTCCTTAAATGTCACTTTTTAATGTATGTGATATTAGACATCAAAATATAAATGCCTTTTAAATTGTGTATCTCATATCAATTCAATTAATTATCAATTTTTCCTTGTTTTGATTTCAGATAGCTTGTGGTTGCACTCAATGTCAAAGACAATAATAAATTAATAAAGATTAATAAAGAAAATAATTTAAAAAAGGGTCAGAATTCACATGACAGTCAAAGGAGAAATGTTGATTTCAGTTCACATTCATTTATTGACATCAT